AAGAACATTGTAGATTGTAAATGGGTTTTCAAAATTAAATTGTAAGTTCCAGTAGGCAAGATTGAAAGATATAAACACGTTTAGTTGCTAAGGGCTATTCTCAGATTGAGGGGAATAGATTATACTGAAACATTTGCACCAGTTGTCCGATACGTAACATTAAGAGTTTTATTAGCTTATGCAGCTATATATGATTGGGAAATTGACCAAATGGATGCTGTAATGGCTTTTGTACAGGGAACTCTAAATGAAGACATTTATATGAAAATTCCAGACGGTTTCAGTTAATTTTACAAGCAAAACTTAAAGGGAAAGGTCCTAAAATTAAACAAAGCATTAATAGATGGTTTAAAGCAGAGTGGTAGACTATGGTACCAACTGTTAGAAAAGGGTTTTAATAGAAATGGGACTGAGGCAAAGTTCTTTTGATAGTTGTGTCTATATTAAAATAAATGAAAATAAAGAATCTTGTTATTGTTACTATTTATGTTGATGACTTACTCATTTTTAGTAATAACATGTAGAACTTAAAAATTGGGTAAAAACAACAACTTAAAGAAAAATTTGAAATGAAAGACTTGGGACCAGCAAATTATTGCTTAGGAATTAAAATTGAACGAGATAGAACTAAAGGGTCCATTAGCCTTAGTCAAACTCAGTATGTAGAGAGTATGCTTTGCAAATATAATATGCATGAATCTCATGGTGTAAAAACACCATTAGACCAAAATCAAGTTTTATCTAAACTGCAGATACCAACTAGTAAGGAACAAAAGCTACCTGTTCCTTACCAGGCTGCCATTGGGAGTCTTCTTTATGCAGCTCAAGCAACATGGCCAGATATAACTTATGCTGTGAATTTCCTTAGCCAGTTCTCCAATAATCCGGCAAGGGTTCACTGGAATGCTGTCAAGCACATCATGCGGTATCTTCGAGCCACTACAGATGCTACATTGTCTTTTTCAAAGGACCATAGTGCTGATGTCCTTGGTTACAGTGACTCAAACTATGGAGGTGATGCTGGGGATCGACGATCAACCACTGGATATGTTTTCCTCATCGGAGGTGGTGCAGTGTCATGGTGTAGTAAGTCAACCAACCATTGCAACTAGTACAACAGAAGCTGAATATATGGCTCTTTCTGCAGCTACTAAAGAAGCCATATGGCTCAACAAAATTGTTAAAGAACTTGGGATTATTACTGCAAAGCCAGTATTATTATACTGCGATAAAACAACAGTGCTATTAATCTCAGCAAAAATAGTGTGTATCATGGTAGATCAAAGCATATTGATATACAACATCATTTCGTGCGAGAAGCTGTGAAACTTCAGCACATTGACATACAATATAAGACTACTAATGATATGATTGCAGACTTTTGACAAAAATTGTAAACAGTGCAAAACATGAAATGTCTGCAAAAAATGATGGGTTTTTTAAAATGAAGACCAATGTAATTTAATGTTTTATTATATGTATGTGTGCTGATGTAATTTTTCTCATTGTATTTAATAGATGATGATATTTAAACCTAAAGTGGGAGTGTAAAAAAGGTTAGCTTTTAAATATTTTTGGCCCATAGATGGCGCCACTGTTTTTATATTCTTCTATAACTGTGCACTTCAATAAAACTTCACTTGTGTTCCAAACTCCCAACAGGTATGTTGTGTATTATTTATTCTCATGCATGCAAGTAACCATCTCTGCTATATTGAGTTTCTAATACTTATTGTAAAATGCGAGCTATTCTTCTAGGAAGTCTTTATTGTCCTAATCATTAGTTAAAGCCAAAATCTGATATTTTTGCATAGAAAATTTCTCAGTATAAACTTAGTAAAAGTTTTAGCAAAAATAACTAGTTCAAGTACAAATTTAATGACAAATGGTGTTTGAAATAATTAATATTTTCATGCTAGGATGAAAATATTAATTGTTATATCTAGCAATTTTTATTTTATATTTGTTCTCCAAATTCACTGTCAAAAGCCAGAAAACTGTAATAAACATGAAAAACGGTGTCAGTATATCATTCTTGAATATCTGTAGGAATATTAATCATAAATTTATAGAACTCATTTTGTTTTAACTAATTAAATGTAGTAAAAATTTTACTAATTGGAAATTTTACTGTATAATATATAAAAATTTAATACTGAAAAAAACTTGATTATGCACCATTCTAATAACCAAAATGTTTTGAAATTTTAGAAATCCCTCCTTTTTTCAAAAGAAAAATTTAACAAATCAGAAACAAAGCCATTGTAAAGCATGTATAGGATTGCGACTCAAAACAAACTGAAAACGGTCACCAGAGAATGTGATTTAGTGCAGTAATGGATAAGCGTGACATCACAATGCAATCATGAGATCTTTTCCTTAATTTTATATTAACTCAATTAGTTTTTGTGAAGAATGGTGTAAGTTTACACCTATTTATCCATTTTTGCCCCTTGCATTTTGAAAAAACTATCAAAGTTTAGGACCTGCCCTAAAGGGAATAGCATCCAGTGAAATATTTACAGATGTATTGAATCCTGGCATCAAGAAAAAGCTTTCTGGTTAATGGAGCATTTATTGTACTTCCTTCCAGTTCTTCCTAATCTTGAGCTTAAACTATCTTTATGATTTTCTACCTCGAGACAGTGAATAATTGGAAATAAGCAGTCAGAGAAAAATATAATCACCCTTTATTTAATTTTACTTTATGAATAAAAAAACTACTGTTGTTTAAGTTTTGGTACTCATCATCTTGTATACCTTTTTGTTGTTTAATTTATAAAAACATATAAAAAATAATCTAAATCAAAATAAATATATATTTGCTTTTTGAGTTTGGTAAAGGAGGGGAGGGGAAATAATAAAAAGGACCATCATTTATAGAAACAAAGCATCCAGCGATCTTATTGAACACCTTATATATCAGCAAGCCATATTTTGAGTCAGAAGCATAATTTTCATTTTTCATCTGCCAAAATTATTGAATTAATAATATTCTTTTGTAGACTGGAGTTTTTGCAGCTTATTATAGCTATTTTTCCTATTTGTGGACAATTTTATTTCTTTTTCCTTTTCAGAGTTCATATATCATTAAGAGTCCTTAGGCTTTTTAAGAAACAATTTTGAATCTATTTTGACAAAAATTTTCAAATGGTATTTAATTTTTCTCATCTGACATTTCCATTTCTGTTTTGTGACTACAATCTTGAGTATAAATTAATATTTTGGATGAATACAGAATTTAAACTATATTGCTTATGGAGCCATCACATTTTGATATTGTTTGTAAACAACAAGGAATTCTGAGCCATCCCTGAAAGTTTTGAGATATCTGAATAATTGATTGTTTGTCCAGCTTCAAAACAAGTCATCGGTCATCAACAAGAATACTGTCTGAATATAGTTTGTGCCCTTTCAAGAAACTCACGTGTCATACTCCATAGATGTTGCATTTACTGTTATCTATGAATCTGGAAATTCTTCAAGGATGTGGGTAATAAGGCACTGAAAAAAGGGCAGGATATATTGAAAACATTAGAAATCTGGTTAGAGTTCAACTGCCTTTCAGTGCTATTAGGAACAGTGAAGAGCATCTAGAGTAGGCTTGAGCAAACTGGCACCTGCAGACTACCCATTTTTATGCATTCTGTGAGCAGTTTCTTTTCAATTCATATTTTTTCAGTAGCAGATTTTTCTGACTTTTGATGCCTGTAAGTAAATTTTGAATCTGTCTGTTTGTGGACTTATTGTAATTTCAAGTTTTGTTCAAGATATTGTAAATTCAAGATAGAATTTCGTAGATTGTAGATAATCTTCATAAGCAAAGTTTTGCAATTAAAAGAAAAATTGAAACAAGTTTAGTGATAATTTGCAATCTTTTTATGAGACAAATTGATAATGCATGAAGTGAGTTACAGGTTGAGATTATAGCTCTATCGTGTAATAGAATAAACTGTTGATTGTTAAAAATTTTATGCTTGAATTCAGTTACTCTGATAATAACCATTTATATCTAAAAATACTACTTTATTTCCACCCCTACCTTTTTTTTTTTAAACCCCATATGTGGCCTTACAGCTGAAAAATTTGAACTAGGCTTGATTTTAAGTATTCCTTTGGAGAAAAAATTACTAGTTAAGTAAAAAAACAGTATAAATAAATAAAAATATTATTTGTTGAAACAGTTTTCTTTTGGACTATAGATTCCAGCAAGATTCATAGACTCACAGTTAATGTACTAACACCTGCTTTCTTTCAGGTACATTGTATTGCAGTTACTGAATGTTTTGTTTAGTAAAATTTTACTGAAAATTATTGAACTTTTATAATTTTATCATTAAGAGCATATAATTTTGAAATTATGTAATTATGATTTGCATATCTTAATTTTGCCTAGTAACTGGAAATGGAAAACAGAAATTATTATAGCATTTGATATTTTTATGTACATTCAAATGCAATTAAATAAATTTAATGGTTTATTAAAAATAAGCAATTGGTTAATTTTAAAATATATGCCTTGCCTGTATATTTTCAAAATTGTAAGTGTAGTGTGTGTATCAATTAGTGATGAGTTTCGTGGCAGGTTGGAATCTCTGCCTTCACTGCTGTTTTTTTACCTTTGGTTGTGAGAAGTTTAAGGGCGGTACTATTTGATGCTTAAAACAAAATTCTCTTAAGCATTAAATTGGCATCTGTTTGACCATATTGTATTTTGTTTTCATTGTTTATTTATCTAAATGATGAAATTTGATAGAACTGTGCAGAATAATTTTGCTCATTGAAGAAGAAAGTTGCATTAGATTCTTTTGAAATGCACTGAGCATTTCTGTGAAATAAATGCTAGTTTAAGATTGTATTTTTTTATTTATTATTATTATTATTTTGCACAGTTTTAAAATTTATCACTTCAGCAGTTAATAACGAAAGTGGATTAAATACTGTAAATGTTCCTGTAACCTGATATATAAAATTTTGAAATCAAATGTTCTTTCTTATAGGGACCAACAGGATATGAAGGTGTTTATAGGAAAGCATGCGAAGTAACTATGCGAGTTATGAGAAGCAGAACAGATGCATTTATGAGGTGATGTTTATTTTCATAAGGTGTAAAGCAGTTTATATGCATAGTGTATTTACTTGGAAAACAAGACCATCCTTATATTTTATGATAAATTTTATGGTTTAAAATCATAAGCAAATATTTGATGAGATTAGCAGTGATTGTGGTTAGAATGAAATGCAATATAATATCTTAGTATGGTATAGAAAGAAAAATTAGAGATGCATTGTTATCTATTTATTCTCATGCATATTAGTGACCCATTAAGTAAATGAAGTTTAAATTGAAATGATTCTGCTAGATGGGGCTATTATAATTAGTAGTATTTATGCCATTTATATTTACAGCAAATTACTTGTATGGTTTAGTGTTTAAACAGTGTAATTATTTTATATAGCATAATTAAACTCTATCCACTCATTCTCAGTTCTGTTTGTCAAAATATATGTTAATAAGATCCTGCCAAATTTTAGAACAAATATATATCAGAAAAAGGAGGATCTTATTTTAAGGTAAGTACCATATATGCATCTTGTAGTGGAGCAAATATAAAATCAGTGCCTGAGCTTGTAAGGATTTTATGTTTTACTAACATTTTATTTTAAAACTTTAATGTCCTCTCTTATTTTCCACTTCCAGCCAGAATAAATGAGGCTAGTTTTAGTTATGTAAATTGAGCTTGCAAACTGTTAATTAGTTAATTTGTGGCTTTTAGCCAAGAAGAACTTAGAGAGAGACTTCTTGCTGCCTTACCTCGCGCACGTTTTTCAGTCAGTGCTGTCCGCCTTTAAGGCCAGAATTCAGTCCTCTTAATAATGAAGACATATTGTAGTTTTCCTGCATTCTGCGTTCTACATATGTAAATATTAAAAGACTAGGCAATTTTTGCTTGACTAGTCTTTGTAAAGTATTTGAGTTTAGCTATTATTTAATTAGCTTTAGTTCTTATTTTTATGTTTCAGACCATAAGTACTGGTCTTTGTATCCCGAAGTGCAGGAACGTCTATAAACTGTGTGAAGAATAAAGGGTAATTAAACCCTCTCCATTTGTGTCATATCTTCTACATTTGCAGGAACATAGTTTTAAGTAAATTCCCTGTTCTTACTCAGGACTCCAGTATGTTCGCAAAGGCAATAAGAAAAAAATAGTAGACCTGATAAGCTTAAAAAGAACCCATGTTCATTTGCCAAGTTTTGGGAGAAAGTAACTTATTCAGTAAATTTTTGAACTGTAGAATTCAAAAATATGTTTTTCCAAGAATTCCCCCATTTCTTTATATTTAAAAAATCTCTTAGTTGTTCATTAGTTTGTTTGACAACAGTTTGCAATAAGGAAGTACTTCAGCAATAAGGAATATACTTGCCTTTCCTTTATTTCCTTCTCTTTTAGTTTTGTGATTTTTATTATTCAAAAGTATGTAAAATTGCAAAGGTGATTCTAATTTTTACATATGAGGAGATAGTGAAAATTAACAAAGATTCATTTCATGTGTTAGAATATATATTGCATCATTTCATAAAGCTTTCTGGAGTTGTTCTCAATATTGAACTTACTAAAGAAACAGCATTAACCTTAACAAAACTTAATTCATGGAAAAAGTACTGAATAACAAAAACAACATATAATATTATTAATATATATATTAGTAATATGTACATTACAACCGTTTTATCCAAGTAATTATATGATGTCCATTGGTCTCTTAAAAATAATATTAACATTGTAAAGATGTTATTTTTCCCCCTCTATAATGACATTCATTATTTTAATATCATTAATACAAATATCTCAAGTTGGATTTTTTGAATCTGTCCTTCATTTCGTGTAGAGAATCGAAAAAGTATATAATACCTGCTTTCAATAGTACATATATATATGTATATTTTTTAGTGTGTTGAGACCTTTCGTGCATGATCCTTTAGTGGAGTGGAGTAAACCTAAAAGCAGCAAATCTCTACAACTTGATTCTGGTGAAATTATGAATGAACAGGTAAAAACTGTGATTTCTTTTCTTAGAACTTTACATATTATAAAAAATATATAGTACTTTGCTATAATAATATCTCTCTTCACCTGATATTGCAATTAGTATTACCAGCTCCAAAATCTGTAAGTCCAAAAGTGGTTAACTGATAACAGTTAGCACAATAATTAACTGAGTTACTGAGCTTTGTTTGAGAAGATATATTTGATCAACAAAAGTAAAGTAACAGTCAAATACTCTCTGAGAATGGATAACTGGACCTGATTGGGATTCTGTTAAATGCTTAAACTATCAGTGTGTCTGAAGGAAAATTGAAAGGCTCCGAATATTAAAAAGATATTTTGACAGCTTTCGCCTCTACTCTTCAAATTATACATTCACCTTAACTACATTGTGATTGATTTTTCATAGAGTTGTTAAAAATAAAATATTTAAAAAAATCTGTCATGCACAAATGATATCCATCAACTTAAAATTGATCAAGATAACTTACATGTTTTTCTGTTGATGGTTGCAGTATAAATAATAAGCAGCGGCTCATTAATTTTTTCAGCATAATATAGAGCTGAATTTGAGCATTAAAGACTTTTGAGACCTGCAAAAGTAATTTTGTAATCATTTTAAATTCCTTAAACAGGATAACTTGTGGCTATTTTTTGCCATGGGGATGCTTTTAAGGACTTGCATTTTGAAAATCTGCAAGTTCAGTATATAATCATATTTCCAGCTGAAGCTATTAAGTGAAATAAAAATGAATCTCTACATATAAATAAAGGAAAGAGTCTGTTTGTGTGTGTGTCTTTCGTTCATGCTGCACAAAAGCTAATAGATCCAGGGCTACGAAATTTGGTAAAAAACCTTAACGAATAGTGGAAATGATTTCTCCTAGACATTGATAGACTCTCCTGAATATTGTCCATGAAACGGTAATAACAACTGAAGATCAACACTTGTGAACAAAAATTACAATTTTTGTGTTTTTTCTCCAACTTTTATATAAGTATTCATTTCTTTAAAATAAAAGTAGTAGCTATTGTTTTTCATATATTTTTTTAAACTTTGTTACTATCATGCATATGAACTGTGAATTTAAACGTTACTGACATTTTTATATTGGTGAGCTTTGAAAAACGTGCTGTTCCTTAACTTTTGAAGGCCAGTGTATGATAATTAAATAGTTTGGAAAATTATAACTTTCTGCAGCATTTACATAATTTCGATACCATAAAGTTGCTTCTTTAATCATCAAAGCCGGTAGCATTAATTTTTAGCAATCAAAACATGAAAACTGGAAGTGCATAAGGAAATTATTTTATTGCAATAGCTTATCATTAGAAATTTTTTTGTGGGGGAAAAAAATTATAAAATATATTTTAAAAAAAAGCTGGAAAAATTAATAAAAATCAACCACTTAATAATATGTAATTAAACATGGGTGGACATAATAAAAAATAAATATTTTACAGAAATATTAAATTAAATTTGAAATTGTAATATAATAAAACAAAATAGATAAAATATTGCCTGAACTTTATGGTAGCCCAGACCCAAACTAATTTTCCCACCTTTCTAAAATAGCATCCAACACATCTACTGACACCATCTCTTCCTCTCCTAAATATTACGACCCTACTCGCTTTCCATTTCAGTGAACATTGAACGACTCTGCCTTTTTGTTCTCTAATTCAGCTTAGCAAACGTGCAAGTTAAATTTGATTCTTTTCTGGCCTTTTTAACATATTATAATTATGTAGATTTTAAAAGTCTCATACTTTTTTATAAACTTATTTTAGAATAATAAGAATGTTTAATATGAATTCTTATTTTTTACATTCATTTAGTTCCTTTATGTTGATGTAGTTTTTGCATTGTTTTACTATGAAAAGCAACGAATGTGTTGGAGTTTTTTTCAAGCAAGAATATTTAAATCTTTACTTAAATAATTAGTTAAGCTTTGTTCTTGACAAGACCATTCTTAGTGGGGGTGCTGTGCGTAAAAGTACGTGGGCGGCCGGACTTTCGCGATGTCTTGCCTAAATATTTTAAAGTCATTGTATTTGTCATATCTTAGTACTTTTTATACTGTTTGTCATATGCAAGTACTTAGTGAGTATGAAATACAAGTTTTACTACCCATTGATCTTTTTTTAAAAAAATATTTGGGGCGGTAATCTTAGGAAAGTACGTGGGCAGCCAATGGTCGAGGAACGGCCCTGGTTCGTGGCTTGTACTTTGAATCAAATTGGCCAGCTTCTAAATAGTAACTTGAATATCCTCTTAAAATTTGTTCTTAACTGTAGTTTGAATCAGTTTTGGCTCAATATCCTGCTAGGTATTTTACAATTGGTTCTTGCATATTAAGATGACAAAACACATTCTATTAATTATTGTTAGTTTATTGGAAATTGATTTGTTCCCCTTGAAAAATCAATTTCCATTTAATAACAATAACTGATTCATTTTTTATTAACATTTTCGTTTTTTACCGTTTTCATAAGCTTACTTGTAATTAAACATTTTTTTACTTTTTTACTAGACATATAAATTTTTTTAACTGCACTAGCATTAAAATTCACTCTTTACTAAGTTTCATAATTTTCTTTCTTTTCTACGAGATAATCCTAAAACTGTTCTAATAAATAACTTCTTATTTTCTTACTTAGCAGCTTTAGTGCAAGTATTGTGCTTTTTTTTTTTAAGTATGAAAAATTACCTAATGTAACTAGTTCTCTCTCTCTCTCTATATATATATACATGTATATATTGGAAAAAGTTGAAGATGATGTCACTCAGTAAATAACGAGGAATCCTTCCCCCCCCCACATTACAGAAACATTTAATAATTATGTACAAAACAACAGATTAAATTAGGATATGACAGTGCCTTTGCGCCTTCTCCCACTAGTTGGACACAAAAACACTTTGCATCACTTTTTTGTGTTTAAACAAACACTCAGCACCTACTCGCGTTCGCGATCCTAACAAAGTCCATTGTCATCACCTTCGTGTGGTGTCGACATCTCCTCGACTGTCTGCAGGTGCGCAGGCGATGAAGTTTCCCTGTCAGGTGATGCTTGCTGGTGGCTGCAGAACGTACCGTTACTACAGCTCGGTGATCCTGACTTTGTTTTCAGCCTCGAAAACACGTATCAATGACACTGGTATATCAAGACAGCATAAAAAATTTAATTATGAAAATGAAATTAATGAAAATAAATTTTTAAAAAAATACAAGTGCAGAGAATCAGCACAGTCAAGGGCTTCATGTGAGCAACTGCTGTGGTTGTACAGCCAGGACCTTCATAGTGTCATACTTTTTCCACCTGGTACCGGTCTTTGCCTTTCCTCGCTGTTACTCGGTATGGACCGAAGAACTTTGGCCTTAACTTTAGACCACCTCCTTACTGTGTTCTTTGTATGGCCACTAGATCGTTCATGTTGTATACCTGTGCCTCTTATCTCTTGTTGTTATACGTTTTTCTGTTCTCTTCCTGAATTTTTAGAATGTTTTTCCTTGCTTCTTTTCTCATCTCTTCTCGGTCTTTCATCATAATATTTGTTTCTTCTTTGAGAATTTCAATAATCTTTAAGTCCTCTTGATTTCTCATTTTAACACCAGTGAAGAGCTCAAAAGGAGAGCTTTTTGTGCTTCTGCTCTTAGTGCTGTTCGAAATCCTTGGTACATCTCCAATGTATTTGTACCACTTGATAGGATGTTCTATGGATAATTTGGATAGGACTGGAATCAGAGTTAGATGAATTCTTTCCACTCGTCCATTTCATTTAGGAATACCGGTAGTTGTAAATATGTCCTGGATCTTCTCTTGACTACAGTAGTCTTCAAAGTCTTTAGGGGTAAAAGTAATACCTTTGTCACTTATTATTCTCAAGGGATTACCGAAAGTTGATTGTTGTAGTTTCAGCTTCTGCAATGCCTCTTGAGCTGATGTAGACATTACTGGGTACAGCCAAACAAATTTTGTAAATGCATCAACCATGGTCAAGATATGGTTGTAGTTTTTATTTGTTGAAGGTAATAGTCCTATAAAATTAATATGAAAAGTGCTCAAAGGGATGCTGTCTGTTGGTATGGGATTCAGCAAACCTTCACTCTTACCTCGTTTTTTGTCGCACAAAATACACTCTACACAATTTGAGATAGCTTGTTCAATTTGTCTTCTAAGGTTAGGAATATAAAAGTCCATTTTCAGCAGATCTTCCATTTTACACACTGCAAAGATTCCATTTTAGACACTGCAACATATGATATCTAACTTCAATGCTTCGGGTACCACTAGTAACTCGCGACCACTGTCAAACTTATATAATACACCATTCTTCAGGAGGAAATCTTCCTTTAGTCCTTGCTCGACTAAAGATTTTAGCAACTGCAGACGCTCATCACTTCTTTGTGATGTGTGTACTTCAATTTTGGCTGTAACTTCTCCCTGAGAACAGATAACCATAATGACAGTGTTTCTACTCAACATGTCCTTGTGCTTCATTTGCTGCCCAGATCTGTGAACAATTTCATAGTCGAATTCTTCTAGAAGTAACTCCCATCTCGGCCCTTTAGGCATTAAATCTTTCTTGAGTGTAGTCTTTTGAAAAGCTTCACAATCAGTAGTTATTCTGACCTTAAATCCCAAAAAATAATTTCTCAATTTCTTTAGAGCTTCCACTATATAGCTAAAACTTCAAGCTCATAACTAGCTTCTCTTGTTGGAGGTTTTTGTAGCAAAACAGTGCCAGAACCACGACTGCTTGCGTCTGTATGCAATTTTAGTGGTGCTCCTTGTTTAAAGATATGAAGAACAGGACTTGTCAATAAAAGTTCTGTCAATTTGTTAAATGTCTCTTTTTGCTCAGGCCCAAATTTGAATTCTAACCCATTACGAAGAAGTTCACTTAGTGGTTTTGCTATTTTCAAATAGTTGGCAATAAATTTCCTAAAATACTCCATATAACCCAAGAAGCTCTGAATCTGCTTAAGATTTTTTGGGCTTTGGGAAATTTTGAACAGCCTTTGTTTTTTCAGATGAGGGGCTAATTGTACCATCCTCAATAATATACCCTAGAAATTCTATTTTTCTTTTCAATTCTTAAAATTGATCCCCAAACCATATTCTTTGGCTACTTTCAAAACACGTTTTAACTATTCTAAACTTTCTTTCACATCTCACACTGGAGTAATAAAATTGCCCATATAAATAACAACAGTGTTGTCTCAAATTATGTCTCTAAACAGCTTATAAATAAATCTTTGGAACACACTTATTAATGTGCACAAACCAAAAGGCGCTTTTAGGAATTCATACAGACCTGCATGTGTCCTGAATGGCAAATATTTAATGCAGTTTTCCTCCACCGGAACATGGGGGGGGGGAATCTTTTTTAAGTCTAATGTCGAAAAAAAACCTTTGCATCATCCAAATGATGTAAAACCTCTTTTACTTGTGCCATGGGAAAAGAATCCTTAACTATTTTTTTATTTAATTCCCGGAAGTCAATACAAATCCATGTCTTGCCACATTTTTTTCTACACAAAACAACTGGCGAAGCATATTCTAAACTTTATAATCCCATCCCTTAAACAATCCTCTGTTTGGTCATCAGCAATTGTTTGGTCAGCAAAAGGAATTCTCCTCAAACGCTGAGAAACTGGAATTTTATCTTTTAATATTACTTTCATTTTTAAGTCTGTACTGCATGGCTTTTCTAATGGTTTATACTCTTTAATAAGGGTTGAAACAGTATTGTGTAATCCTTTATCTGTAATGTTCGTTAAATCTATTTTGTTGTCTCCGTCAATGGCTACAGAAATAAAAGACAAAAAAATTCCTTTTCGAAGAGATGGAATCATTTTCATATTGCGTAATCATCACCCGATCACAGCAGCTGCCAGTGAACTTTTTCAGGCATGAGGGGGGCAAAATATAATCTGTTATCAACTCATAAACTCCATTTTCCTCCTTTTCCAAATGTTTGGAACAATTTCTTGCAAATGAAACAATTCATCTTTACTCCTGCATACATAGCAAATACGTTCTGATTTACTATTATTTTGATTTACGAGTTTGCACCCTGAATCCTTCAAATTGCTCTGTGCTTTTCTAAGATTGTTTTTGGAAAAATTAAGCTTTTTATTTTCTGGAGTTTCGATTCGCATATTACTGGCATCAGCTAAAGACTTACCCCTGGATGAATAAAATAAATCACATTCTCTTCCTAATTGATTAGTTGGGAACCAACTTGATTCTAAAACAAATCCCAAACACTAATATGCTCCTTTGTTTTAGAATCAAGCATTTCATATAACTTATCAGATACAATGAGATGACATAATTTCTTAAAATCATTTACTTCTTTTAACCTACAATAATAATAATCGAAAGCTGCACTAAGTCGAGACGGGAACTGAACATGCGATTCAGATGAATGTCTCTGCTCATTTTTAAAATTATTCAAACATTCACGTAGTGATGTCTGAAATTCCTTCAAGATTAGTGCTTTTAATTTATCATAATCTGCGATTTCTTGTTCAGAAGTATACATTAAAGCATAATTACATTTATCACCTAATAAATTAATCAACACTTCTGATTTTAACTCAACTGGTATGCTTTTGGTAGTAAAAGCTTTCTCAAGAGACTGAAAAAACAAATGCAGAGATTCTGGTCTCTGAGGGACAGGTATAGTTAGTGTTTTAACGCTCTTGATGATATTTTCTAAACTTCGTGTTACTGGTTCAGAGTCTGTAAACACAGCATTTTCACCAGCCAATTGTAGCTTCAGTTTTTGGACCTCAATTTCCTTCTCAAGCTAAGCTCCACAATTTTTCTGTGCTCTAATTTTGACTGCTTCTCAGTCACTTTGTTCTTTTGATCCTCTGCGACAGCCTTAATAATTCCATGAACGAATTCAGGATTAGTTTTATAAATACTATCATTCTCAATAATAGTTTTGATTTTGATTACTTTCACTTTAGCCAGCACTGTTAGGACTAACTCTTCTGCAATTATTTTCAAATCTTGCTTTCTAATATTATTTAACATAACTCATGATTGATTACAATAGTAATAGTACTTTACCTTGCTTGTTTCTTGGCCGTATCCTAACCAAGCCCCTAGATTTTATGTGGGGGAAAGTGGAAGATGATGTCACTCAGTAAATAATGAGGATTCCTTTTTTTTTTACTTCACTACAGAAACATTTAATACAGTCAAAAGTCTTTAATCCAGACTCGTTGGGACTTCGGCGATTCCGGATTATCGATTTTTCCAGATTATAGATCATCAGTTTAAATCTGGTAAGATGGCATGCAGAAATTATAAAATTAAAAATATGAAACTGTAATTTATGAAATAAAGAGCAATTATGATCTAGAGGGTATCAAAATTTACAAAAAAAAAAAAAAAAAAAAAAAAAAAAAAAAAAAAAGCTTAATATTTATTTGTTTACTTTATTAAACATTTCTTTCAATGCGCGCATGGGTAAAGCATACATTATGCATAGCCAAAATTAGAAAATTGCAACCAGAAAAATATTTGATTTGTATTCGTGATATTTATAATGACGAGGAATTTTATTTTAAATCATATCAAAGATGGAGTACATCGAGATGAAATACTACATTATAAGCCGAATAAAATAAAATCATCTGCCCTGAAGATAAAGATAGTGCTGACAAATCAACTTCCAGTTCATTGTGCGCCGCAACATCCCCCCCCCCTGCAGAGCAGCGTGAAATTGATAAATAGATTTCGGAATAGTTAGAGAAACAAAGGAGCCTTTATCCATTTTTTGAAGCAATTCCACTTTTTGTTTGATGGACATTGAAACATGCTTTCCCTTTGCTCCAACATCGGAAATTCTATTTGACATAATCGAAAGTTCCAACTTACTTTTATAAATTGCTCCAACAGTCTGCAAAAAATAGTAAGCCGGATCCAATTCGAAGATTAAGGAACAACGCAATCTGCAACATTAACTGAAATAGATAATTAGATAATTTTAACTTAGCTTATACCATCCGTTATACATGAAACGCGCATGCGTAAAGGTATTATGTGCATGCATAAACGCATATGCGGAGGCGTAAAGGTATTACGCGCATGCGTCGACGCATAATGGGTTGACGCATGTGCAGAAAGTTTGTAGCTTTGAGGTCCGGATTATGGGTGTACAGATTAACGACTTTTGACTGTAATTATGTATAAAAATACTGATTAAATTAGGATATAAAAGTGCCTTAGTAGTGCCTTCTTGTGCTAGCTGGAGACCACAAAACGTTTGCATCACTTTTTTATATTTAAACAGTCACTTAACGACTACTCACGCTCACAATCTGAACAAAGTCCCTCGACATCTCCTCGGCTGTCTGCAGGTGTGCAGGCAATGAGGTTTCTCTGTCAGGTGATGCTCTCTGGTGGCTGCTGAACATACCATTACTATATATATGTTATGTGTGTGTTTGTGTGCATTACTTATTTTCATGTAATTTTGTTTGTAGAGTTTATAGTAATGTATCATTTTTCTTTTTAATGTAAATTTTTTCAATTAAAACATATTTAATTTGGGAATTTAATTTTTTTTTTTTTTTTAATCTGCAGGGTTTAACTCATGTTAAAGATATTGAACTGCGATTGAATGGAATTGTGAAATCTAAGAACAAACAACAGGGTTTGCCATTATCAATTGAAGGTCAAGTAAATCATCTAATACAGGTACATTTTATTCAGTCATCAAAATATAAAAATTCATTACAATATAGATTTCAAGGGAACATTTCATACAATAAATTCAGAAAAAAATGTTATTTTTGCATGTTACATGTTATCTTTTTAATGAAAAGAATACTATAAATTTTACAATGGATTCTAAAATAAAAAATTTAAATTATTTGGCACCTAAATTTAAAAATATTTGAAAACTCTCACTTCTAATTAGTGAGTGCAAACTTACCACTTGAAAATTGACTTAAAATTTATCCACTGTTTAGCAAATTCTGAGTGAACTTTAAATGAAATTTGCAGTAAAGATTTGATCAGTCAGATAAATACTGCATCTTAGATCTTAGACCTTAGAGTGTTAAGGATTTGGTTTACGAAATTTAATCTAATTATTTGTTAAATGACTGTTGTTATTTAAGTAGATGAATCAACAGCATTATATAAAATGCATATGAAAGGATTATTTATAAAGGGATTAATTTTGAAGTGATGCAGTCAGACAGATTTATTATAAGAATCTAATTCTGTTTAGAATAGAAGAGAGAAATACTGTAAATTTCCATGTGTATGCCAAGAATTTTTAAAACTTTTCCAAAAGCTAAATTATGTGTGTCATCTTAAATATGGATTTGCTAATCTCGCAAAAAATGTAGATACTTTTCTGTTAGTCAGGTGCAAGCAATAAATCATAAAATAAAGCACTTTATTTTTTTAGTTTATATTTCTTAAAGAAAAATTTTAATTTTAAATGGAATGAGTTATTTTATTCTCAAAATTGCTGGTTTGTTGCAATGTTACCAAAACAAAAAATCTGATATTGACGAAATTCATGCTTGGCGGCCACATGCTACCTTTTTTTATTTTTTTCATCTTTACTAATTCAAGATTATCTTCCTCCACTCTTGAACTGGTTTTTCATTTATGGGAAAATGCCCAGCAGCCCATGCTATTGTTAGAATTTTCAGTAAATGCGATCACCAATAGTTTGAAATCCACTGTATAAGAATTTCCGTTTCTGCTTATCTCTCGGACAAAAAATAAATAAATAAAATGCACAGAAGATAGCACAGATCATATACAAGACAACAAACAAAGAATGTATTCCATGAAGTTTTTTGTATCAAATGATCGAGAAAATGTGCTATGGTCAGAAAGAATTACCAGAGTTAAAGCTGTCATCATTGGCATCTGGCATTTTACTTTACAGAGATTTGATTGGAAAATATTTCACCCGTTTCACCTGCTTGGAAACATTTTCACTCTCGTGGGAAAAGGTTTGAATATGGGACTTTTTTCATTTCGGCTTATAGACAGATTTTGAATTTTGAATAAATTGTTTAAGAATAAATGCACTTTTGAATTATACATGGATTGGCTTATATTTAGAAATATACATTAATTAAAAAGGAAATTTAAAAACCAGTTACAAATTTAAATTAGAGTTTTATCTTACATATGCTTTATTTTACACACACACAAAGATTTATATACAAGGTGATTCTAAATTGTTTTTCAAAATTAAGAAGGGTAATAGTACTCATCTAGATGAGCAATAATTACCATAGAACATCGGATCGCATTCCACTCAGAGAGGCAGAAAAGATTAATATTAGAATTCCAATCTGAACTTACAACAGTGTTGGGAGAGCGAATGAATGAGACCAAAAGTTGCATAATCAGTTTAGTGAAAAACTTAAAGAGTGCACAAAATGGATAAAACTGAAAACTTAGTGTTTGAGTGTTAATTCGAGCTCAGACTTTGATGGCAAACACTCAAATGCACATCATTGGTTGGCAAGGTCTCAACCTCGCAAATGATTTAAACAAGTTAATTATCTAAGTTATTTGGGAGAAGTTATCTATTAGGGGGGAACTGCTACCTTGATATCAAATATCAAGACAGGAGTATTTTCCCTCTTCGCCATCTTTTATCCTGTCCTCCTAGGTTTACGTTGCTGCGCTCATTCTGCTTGAAGCATCCTTCTATGGAACTCGAAGTTCTGACAGCTGGAACTCAACATAAACTTTGATGCTAATCTTGGCATACAGCAGAAGTTAGTTGATAATAGTCAGCCCTTGATTAGATAATTAACTTGTTGCAATCGTTTGCAAGGTTGAGTCCTTCCCAACCAAAGATGCGCATTTGAGCGTTTGCCATTGACGTCTGAGCTCGAATTAACACTCGAATGCCAAGTTTTCGGTTTTATCCGTTTACATAAAGCACTCTCTGTGAGTTTTTCACTAAACTGTGCAAGTTTTGGCCTCATTCATTCGCTCTCCCAACACTGTTGTAAGTTCAGTTTGTAATTCTAGTATTCAAGTATTCATTTCTGCCTCTCAGAGTGCAATTCGACCCTATATTCTATGGTAATTATTGCTCATCTGGATGAGTACTATCACCCCTCTTAATTTGTAAAAACATTTTATAATCACCCTATATATACATACAGTAGAATTCTGAAAACATGGCCTAATGTGGACCGAAGGGTGGTTGAGTTTGTGAAAATGCCGGGTTATCTGGAAAACTTTTAAAATGTATAAGTACGAGTGTTTCTTCAGAAAATACAGTACTTGTATTTGTTGGCTGCTGGAAAATACAACAGTTTACAAAGAATTAAATATTGTAACTCAAACTTACTACCAAATACCCTTAAACAAAGGAGAAGTACGTACTTTATGAAGGCATAGAGCCTTTGCTAATGAAAATTAATGAATACATACTGTACAGTAATTTACCTGATAAGACAAACCTCTGAAAAATATTTTATGAAGGCATAAAGCTGTCAATAATGAAAATTAACTAGCCAACTTTGCAAAAGCTGGCTACTTTTTTTAAAGAAATGCGTAATGCCTTCTTGTTTTCCACACTAAACTCTGTGCTTTGCTGCTTCATCATCAAGACAATAAAGGAGCAGGAAGTCTATTTACCAATGCAGTTTGTTGTTCAAAATACTGTAGGGAGATTTCAATAGCCTTTAGTCCATCACTATGTGATATTTTAAGAGCTTGTAAGTTGGAGTCCTGAAAGTCAACGTCTTCAACATTTTCCGGCATTTCTTCATTGACTGTGATAGTAACAATAATTTCTGCATTAGACGACATATCTTGCTTGGTATCATTTCTGGAACCACTATTTGATGTCATTTTCATTGGCTTCTGCACATCCAGGAACTCTTTTCAGGAATTTGAGTAAGTTTACATTTTCTGCATCATCATCATGTTCAACATACTCATTTCTCTCATGATCAAGGAGTTTTCGCCAAGAACGAACTAGTGTTAATGACTCTAACTCATTCCAGCCATCCGCCACCCATCCAACTACATCTAATAGTTTTTTTTGGGGGGGGGATAACAGGTTGTGCCTATATCATCTCTTGATACTAACCAAAACTCCTTGGTCCTTTAACTGGCAAAATGCTGTGACATTGGGTGGTAAAAACATTGCTCGTATATCCCTATTTTTTAATTCTTCAGTGTCTGGATGCGAAGACGCATTGTTTAAAATCAGAATAGCCTTCCTTGGCAAGTTTTTTAGATTTTAAAAACCGCTTAACCGATAGAACAAATACTTCATGAAATTATTTTTTGAAAACTGCAACAGATCATCCAGGCATTTGACTGGTTTAGATACCAAACGGAAAGTTTATCCATTTCAGCATGCATGCACGTGGTTTCTTTGACTGTACTATGACACAAAGTTTTAATTTGTGGCCACCTGTTGCATTACTGCATGCTAGGATTGTTACCTTCTCCTTGCTCAAAACCAAGGGCTGACTGTTCTTCCTTGAAAACAAGACTTTTTGCTGATAACAGTTTATAATTTAACCCTGTTTCATCACAATTGTACAATTGCTCTGTGATCAAACCTTCAACTTCGATAAATTTCTGAAAGTTTTCTATAAACTGAGACATACCCTCCATGTCCCCGGATAGTTTTTCCCCCACAGATTCTAAGCTGTCGTACTCCATATCGTTTCTTCTAGTGATCAAGTTAGCCAGTGCTTGCGACAAATTTAGGATCGTTGTCTTCTTTTAATTCTTCATAAAATTTCAAGGCCTTCTCTTGCAAGATTGGCTCACTAATTGGGGTGCTCTTCTTTCATTTTATTTACCTCATTAAACTCACTTGCCTTTCTTTCAATGTTTCTGTACACATTTTCTTAACACACTATGATTTAATTTCCGTTCGCTTCTTCCTCCAGTCTCCAATCGTACTTTTACTGACTCCCAACACTTTAGCCAATGTACTAACACTTTCTCCCCTCCAGTCTATTACCCCCCCCCCCAATTTTTGCTCCATCAAGAAGTTCACTTGTTTTCTTTTAACAGAAGACGCCGTCGCAGAATCTGTCCAGTACCCACAAACTTGGAAACAGCTCTGAATAGTACATTACAGTCACTCGCATCAAATTAACAACATGGCTAAGAAATCGATTGGATCCTCAATTGGAGACATCACCCGTATGACTGGCGATTATCACCGGACTTGAATCAGAGAGCACGTGTGGACATGCTGGCCGACGAGTGCGCCCGTCACTCCTCCACATGTATACGGACTTGGAAGCATTGCTTTTGAGTGGTGTAAATCCCCCAAGATCGATCGAAATTTGATACTCGCATGCTAGGCGTTGTACGGACTGCATGCATGTCTGGGAGAAGACAATGATAACAATCATACCACCATGTATATTGTTTTTATAATAGGTTTTTTTTTTTTTTTTTTTTTTTTTTTGTAATTGCTCAGGGAGAAAAAATCGCTAATTTTTATAATATCAAACATATAGCATCTTTTTTGCTCTTTACCTTGTTAATAATAACCTTTACAAATAGTCAATTGTTTTCTTTGACTCTTCTTGCCTGATTTGCATTATCCTTAATTTATGGACATGAGTGTATATATAGATAGGATACCTAATGTGTATTTTTTTTTACTCCAGTCACGTGGTGGTCATCGAAAAAATTTTAAGCTATTTATTTTAAATTGTAGATTTGCCAACTAGGCTCCCTGTATAGATTTTTCTTGCATCAGTATCTAGTTTAATTTTTTTTTTTTTTTTTTTTTAAGTTCTTTAAGTTCAGTTTCAATTTAAATTGTGGGTGCGTCGGGAAAAGAAGCGAAGCCATTGAGACTTAGCTATACTAAGATA